CCCCCCCCCCTTTCTAATGCTAGCATAGGAAGGAGCTGTTGTCTTTTTCACAGATGATGCCACGTACAGATTTTTCTAATAATCTTAGCATATGATGTGCCTAAGAATCATCACTGGCACATAGTCATGAAAGGCTTTCTCATCAACGCACTGGCAAAGACTCAAACAGATTTTCTGACGGGGTTCTAATAAGACCTGCCTAAATTTAGGAAAGAGCACAAAGGGTGTAACACAGAGCACTCCAAATCACCAGGCCAGGAAGGCAGTTAAAAAAGGTGGCGTTTTAACCCGCAGCAGCTTAAATGGACCCAGAGGGTATCGCGCTAAGTGAAATAAGTCAGTCGGAGGAAGACAAGAGCCGTAAGATTTCACTTACACGTGGAATCTGAAAAACAGAATAAACAAGCAGAACAGAAAGAGAGTCATAGATGCAGAGAGCATTTTGACGGTTGCCAGGTGGGAGAGGGGCCGGGGGTGGAGGACCGGGAACGCGGACAATAATATTGTGATAACTGTGCAGGGTGCCAGGCGGGTGGACTGTGTAATGCCTCATCACTGGGTTGTGCACCTGAAGCTAAAACAATATTGTATGTCAACTGTGATTGAAAAATAAAAAATTATTTAAAACTTTTTTTTAAACGATGGTGTTTTTGCTTCCTGTGCAGGACATCGATAGTGAGGCGGGAACCTCCTTGTGACAGTAAAATGCCACCAGGTGACTCCCTGTGCTTCTGCCAGTCTGTGGTGTGGGCTGTGCGTAAATACAAATCTAATTATTTGAGCGGGAAGGTAGAACTAACCAAAAAAAGCAGTTACCTCCGTTTTTTACTACCTTCACAGTTTGTAGAAAACGTCTTCGTTCTCTCCTGCGAAAGTTTTAATAATAAAAACCAAACACCAATAGAGGTTTTTACAGTCAGGATGAGTTCCAGGAACTTACACTCAGTGTTATCACCTCCCTCCCCACAAACAAACTGCTCCTGCGTCCTGTCTGGAAAAAACCACCACTGGCCTTTCCTTGGCCCTGTTTTGTGCCGGGCACTGTTGTGAGCTCTTAACGTCAATAACAACCATTTAGCCTCATTTTGCTGATGAGGAAGTGAGGCACAGAGAGACCAAATAATTTACCCCAAATTACATCGACCGCTGCTGAGCGATTGGAACCAGGCGTCTGTCCAGGCCACCGGAGCCAGGGCTGCGCTTTTAGGCGTCACTAGGTTGCCTTTCCCTGGTTTGCACACCCTTTTCATGGCATGTTCTTGGCACCCCCCCCCAGGCCGGAATGTCATGCGGAATTCTAAAGCCATTTCAGCCGGCTCAGAGTCCCTAAGACATCTGTTTAGTCCCACATTGCTGCCCTTCTCCCGTTTCCCACTCTCCCCCCTTCTCAGTGGCTTCCCAAATTTAAGAGACTGGGGAAAGGCCTAACAGAAAACGGGGGAGGAGGCATTCTCCGATGGCTGTGCCCCCAACCAGCCTGCACTATGTACCACTCAATCGTCACCTCAGAGCAACAAGGTCAGCTCCAGCACCCCCTTGGGGGCTGGTCTCCACCTCTCTTCTCACCCCCTAGAAGTTCCCAAAGTGACAGGACCAGGATCAGAGAGGGGTGCGTTAAAAAGGAGAGCCGGGTCAGAAATCTGGACCGAAGGGGCCCGTGCTGACCGCAAGGGCAAGGCTTACGAGGCAGGGGAAGTGAGAATGGCAGATGCCGCTGGAGTTGGGGGCTCCGGCAGGAGCTGTGCGGTCACCAGCGTGGGGCGGGAGCAGCAGGTGCCAAGCGAGGAGGCACTTCACAGCCCCTTCACCAGATACAGCTCTAAATGAGAACTGAGCCTAAAATCGGCCCCTCCGGCTTCTCCAGCCCCCACGCACCCTTCGGCCCCAGGCCTCTGCAGAGGGCACAGGAATCTCAGAGGAAACCTCGCTCCTCGGACCCCCTTTTCCTCAACGGGAAAGTACACCTTCCTTGGCACATGGAGATTCAAACAGGGCCTGTTGAGCTATTACCCCGTGGATGAGCAGCACCGTACTGTTTGGGTGTGGCCTGGAAACAGACCTGCTGTTTGCATTTTGTCATAATCGAAGTATAAACTGGTTTAAATGCACCATTTCTTTTCCTGCTGCAGCCTGCTGATATGGGCTTTGAGACTGCACTCGCCCCGCAGTATATCACCGTAAATGAAATGGTCTTTTTTGCGTATGTGCCCGAGAACGAACCTCAGAAAACTATATACACCAAGAAGTTCAACAACATTCACACTGGAAAAGTGATACATTCCAGGTACCTACGGACGTGCCTCCCATTTGTTTAGATTGCACATTGGTTTCTAGGTTCTCAATTCTGAGCCTACTTTTTTGGGTAATTTTCTGGGTCAAACAGCGTGCGGTGTGTGTGTTTTTTGACGCCTCACAAGGCCAAATGTATTTGTAGACTTTACAGTTTTAACACACAAATATGTATCAAAATGTATTGTTTCATTTTGCCAAATGTATTATTTAGCTACTTATACCTTCTCCTGTGATTTGCCTTTTTCATACATGGTGCTTTTAAAATGTTCATATGCTTCATAAATTACTCCATATTGATATATGCATCTATAATTCACTTTCAGGGACATGCCATAATTTATTTAACTGTTCTCCTGTGCTGTCTGGTAGTAGATTTAAACTTTTGTCATTTATTTCTAAGTTTTAATCAACCTAGAACTGATATGTGTAGTGTGAAGTATGAATTTGATTTCCGTCTCTCTCGCTCCCTCTTTTTTCTTCATCTAGGTAATCAATCATCCTGTGGATCCCCATTGGCAGTTGACCTGATTACCCCCAGGTCAACTGCTAAATTCTTTTACTAATTCCAGTCCTTTTTCTATATATTCCTTTGGGTTTTCTGAGTAGAGATTTTTCTAGTAACCACATCACCTGCAAAGAAGTTGCTTTGTTTCTTCCTTAACATTTCTTAAGCATATTGTACCTTTCTCCTGTTCAAGTGTCTAGGACCTTGTTAAATAAAAAAAATATATATAGTGTGTGTCTTAGTCCACTCAGCTCCACCCTCATGACCTAAACCACCTCCCCAAAGCCTCACCTCCTAATACCATCACCTGGGGCATTAGATTTTCAACCATCTTTGTCCAGGTGCTAGATAAGCTGCAGGTTCTAACCACCCCTTCGTGTTCCTCGTCACTGAGTTTCTCCCGTGTCTGAGTGTGACATGCTTGTCTCTTTTGTTGGTTTGATTTCCAGGGTCCCGGGCACAGAACCTAAGAGGGTAGAGGAAAATAGGTTTCTATTTCCCTCGCCTACAGTTCATTTTAGGTAACAGTCTTTTGTCAGATATGCCTCTTGCAAATATTTTCTCTCGGTTTGTGGCTTGTCTTCTAATTCTCTTGACAGTGTCTTTCACAGAGCAGAAGTCTTTAATTTTAATGAAGCACAGCTTATCAATTTTTTCTTTCATGGGTTGTGCCTTTGGCATTGTATCTAATAAGTCATCGCCCTACATGGTCATCTTAATGTTCTCCTGTTATCTTCTAGGAGTTTTATTGGTTTGCATTTTATACTTAAGTATATGATCCATTTTGAGTTAATTTTTGTAAAGGAGGTGAGGTCTGTGTCTAGATTTTTTTTAATTTTTTTTTTTTGCATGTGGCTGTCCAAGCTAACATTTTTAAAACTAGGTTGTTTTTCTTGATTATAAAGTACATGCCCATTGTAGAAACTTCTTAAAATACAGATAAATATAAAGAAGAAAATTGAAATCATGACTGTTAACACTTTGCTGAATTACTGATTAGTTCTTTTAGTTTGCATTTTAACAGTTTTTACCTTGCTTCTTTCATTTAGAAATTGTAATATGACCATTTTGCCCACGTAATCAAAAACTCTGTAAATACCATTTCAATAGTTGCATTTTGTCTAAGTAAATTATGTATTAACATCTACTTAATTTTTCTATTGTTGGCAATTCTTTTATTTTTTTTTAACCTCACCGAGGACATGTTTTTATTGATTTGAAAGAGAGAAGAAGGGGGGGAGGGGAGAGAGAGAGAGAGAGAGAGAGAAACCCACCCACTTCCCTCTACCCCTGTGTTTCAAGTTATTTCCTTAGGATGGAGCCTTATCAGTAGACTTATGGAATCAGAGGGGAAACAAATAATGCTATAGCTCTGAATGAATAATATCAATTTGCTTTCTGAGAAGTTTGCACCAATTTATAATCCTGTCAGTAGTGGATGAATGCCTTCCTCCACTAAATTCTTACCACTCCTGAACCCTGTCATTTAAAAATCTTTGCTAATTTGATAGGTGGAAAATTGCATCCCATTGCTGTAATTGACATTTTATTAATTAACTAATGAGGTTGAAGAAACACTAATCAAATGTTCATTTGTTAGCCATTTGTGTGGTATATCTTGTTTGTAAATTAAATGTTCATACACTTGCTCGTTTAAGCCATAGTTCTACCCAAATTCCTTAATTGTTTTGGTGTGTTTAGGAAAAGTGGACAGGCTCTCATAACAAGGATATTGGAACACAACACTCCGAAAGGATTTCTGTCCGCAGTTATTACAGAAATAATCGAACCTTTTGCACTAGAAGATGTGAGTGAGAGTTCTTGTTTGTCTAGTACCCTTTCCATTAATCAACTTGGAGATTTCTATAAACTCACTCTTCAATTGCCAGGTAAGTGTAATAATGTCATATAGCTCTTATGGCTAGTAAAAATGAAAAATTATCTTTTGAAAAGACCATTCATGCTCATTTACAGAACAGTAGATTTCAAAATTAGTCCAAATAACAATCTGTGGAAGTATACATCTACTTAGGTTCGGGAAGGAATTTTTTATTTCTAATATAATAAAACCTAGCTATAACTTCATTGATATTACATCAATAGTAGTATCTGTCATTTATTCCTAAGGTGTTATTTTTATATTAAACAGAATTCAGGAGAAACACAAGAAAATCGGAAGTCCGTGCAGATTTTGACCTCTGTGATAAAAAATCATTTTGAATCACTATTATATAGGATATTTCTATTTCAAAGAATTACATGACAGATACCTAGCAAAGCTTACTACGATTTATTGTAAGAGTTTGGGTTTTACTCCGAGTAAATCGAAAGCCATTGGGTTTTGAGCAGAAATGACAAGACTGGACTTATGTTTTAACCTGATCACTTTGGCTGCTGTGTTGAGGGTGGGCTGGGCAGGTGACGGAGAAAGGGAAGGAAGGAAAGCAGAGACATCGGGCGGGTGTCACACTGTCGGGCGAGGATCACAGGGACTTGCGGGTGCCTCTGACTCGTCCAAGGGGAGAAACAGGCGGGTGTTTGGGAGGACAGGCCTGGCGCTCGGTGAGAACAGCTGGGCCGGAGAGGCAAAGTCGAGCGGTCATCACGCCTCTGCTAGTGCATCCTGAGACCGGGTGAGGTCACCTGGAGAATGCTGGTGGATACCAAAAGGGAAAGGTCTGAGGTCCAGGCCCTGGGGTGGTAATAATTAGTGTCCAAGAGATGGGGAAGGATTGGAAAGGAGATGGAAAGTCTGCGCAGAGGAGACCTCGGGGAAGCTGCTTAGATGCTGCCGGTAGGCCCGTGGATCGTGTGAAGGCCACTGGTAGCCTGGACCAAAGCTGCTGTTGGGTGGAGCAGTATAGACCGAATCTAATCAGGTTCAACTCACCAACGGGGAGGAGGACTGAAGACAGCGAATGAATGAATGCAGCTCGGGGGCTTGCACCGCGAAGGGAAGGAGCGCGCTTGCGTGGCCGTCGGGGGACATAGGAAAGGGCTCAGTCGGCGTCTAAAATGGGAGGAACTGGGACCTGTACAGAGTAAAGGGAGTTAGGAGGTTCTCTTCTGACTACTTCTGTTTTTTCAGAATGAGGCAAGTATTCTTACGTTTCATGGCCTATAGAAAAATCTGATAATGAAAAAAAAAAACATTTGATAACGACGCCCTCCCTCTCCTTGGAACAATCTTTCGCCTCCCTCCTGTGCCCCCGGCGCCTTCCCTCCGGCCGCTTCCTCTCTGCCTGTGGGATCTCCCCGCTCCTCACAGGATGGTATTGCTCACCGTCCCACCCTACAGCTGCTTTTCGCCTAACTCTCCATGCTCTCCTTAAACAATCAAGTTGTCACCCACTCGGCAAGTATTTATGGAACACCTTCTATGAAACAGGCAGACCTTAGGTCCTGGGGAAAGGCTGGCTCCGCCACCCTTCTCCCACAGAGTCACGGTCAAGATTCCAGGTTAAGGCTCTCGGCACTTTTATAGTAAAGAAATCGGCGTTCCTATCATTACTTAGCCCTACATGGTGGTTGCTTTTTCCTACTGATAATTTTATGGAATCCATTTCAGAGTAAAGGGTATAAAGTACAAGTGTGTGCTTGACATAGCCACGGTACACTTTCTATAAAATAATTTTATTTATTTCCTAAAATCTGGCAAATGTGTTTTATGCTTAAGAGCATAGTTTAAAAACTGAAACAGTGTGTTCATCAGTTATGTCCGCCCGTGGGCTTGGAGAGCACTGGCTGTTTTATTTCATATCAAATCTTTCCTGTTCTAGCTCCAGGTGTGTTTTCCTCATTTCAAGACTCGGATATAGAGAAGACTGTGGTGATTCCTCAGTACAACAGCTTCCTGATCACAAGCGTTCTAGATCGTAGGAATGCTTTGGCTATCGCTACCATGCCTGGAAGAGCACCCAGCAACATAACTTTTGTAACAGGCTCCTGGTTCTTATATAACTTTGGACAAAGGGCAGGCCGAACATGGGAGATATATACAAGACCATGTAATTACTGGTTTCAGCAACAAGATGACTTGCTATCCCTCAATGTCCTCAAATACCTTGATCTGGGGAACTCTCAGACTTTGAAAGTTAAGGTCATACCCAGCACACAAGGCAAGTTTATTTTTATTGGGAAACATCAAAAGGAGATGTTTTTGTTTACCTTGAATGTGAAATATACTCTGATATTTTCCTTTATCTTTAGTTTCCATAGTCGCTGGCATTCTACTCATAACAGTATTAACTTCTGATCATTGAGTACTTACTGTGTACAAGGCTCTGTGGTAGATGGTTTTTATACATTTTTTTAATTTAATGTTTATAACAACCCTAAAAGGCTAGACTATAATCCTCATTTTACAAATGAGGAAAATCAGGTTACGTTAGCAGCCCAAGCTTACACGGGACTTTCGTTTAGATGTTTGCTTTCATCTGAAAAGAAAACCTTTCATTATCTTGGATTATTATCATTGTTTCAAGTGTTTATTTAAAGCCAAACAATAGCTTTTAGATAAAATTCGATACTTTTCCTCATTTTTCCAGGCATTTATTTATTGCGAAAGTAATAATGAAACATTAAAACAATGATGGAGAAGGGGCATACTGGGGAAAAATAAAACCAAAAAAATTTAGTATTGAGCTAGAAAGATGGAAGGGAGGGAGGGAAAGAGAAGAAAAGCCTGTCACCAGAAAAGAAGAGGGGACTCAAAGCCAAAAACTGAGCTGGTGTGTGGTTTCCCGCAGGATCTGAGGCTCAGGTATTGGCCATCTAGGCAGAGGGATGGACCTTGATGCCCAAGCCGTGGGCCTTCCTATTGTGTGTTAGGAAATTGGAACTGAGGCCATTAAACCACAAGGAGGGGAATAGGAAAACTCTACATACCACCAACCCCAAAAAGGAGCTGGAGACTCATTTCCGGGGGGTTCAAAGTGGAGAAACAGAATCTCCTGAGGAAGAGCCGCACGGGACCCTTTGTAGGACTATTGGGACAGCCCGGGTAGCGTGGACTCCGTGGCGAAAAGCCAGCCTTCATCAAACGTGAATTGAGGAAAAGAATTGTAAAACTATGCAAGGAAATGACCCGGGAGAGGGGAAGATCGACAGGCGCAGGAAACAGAAAATTTTCACCTCCAAGAACTTGAGGTGATAGAAAAAGCAGAGAGACACTAAAAATAACCATCTGTAAAACTCTTAAGAGATCAAAGGAGATATATGAACCATAATGAAAGGAAAAAATACTATTTTTTAAAAAAAGGCTTATATGAAAAACAACCAAATACAATTTATATAAATGAAAGCTATAGG